TTTTTTTGGATCTGTTGCTGTTGGATCATCTTCAACATGACAATTTTGTTGATCCCACCAAAATAATAAACGATCACGTTCATGTTCATCAGGTAATATATATTTAACAATAGGATCAATATTAAATTTTAAAACTGATGACCATATAGCAACATGAAAATGTTCCATTAACCAATCAAGAAATTCTTTTACATTAGGACGAAACCATACTGCAAAATTTCCTATACGTTCAGGACGAGTTAAATAATTACTCTCATATTGTTCAGTTAATAAACGTTTGCATTTCACATATTCATCTTTATAAAGACGATGAACAAGAAGACCATTAAGATCAAGTATTATTAATCGTTTTAGTTGAGACATATTTAAATAAAGTAAATTGATGAAACTTTTTCGGTAATGAGTGAATCATTGAGAATATTTGTATTGGTAACAATTATTAATCAATCCTATAATTGTAGATGTCAGTTTAACATAAATTGTTAGAGATGATATTATTAATAAAAATACATATGATCGAATGTTAAGTATATTTTTTTATTTACGTATATATTTTCATATAAATTATATGTTATACTTAAATTTGATCAGTTGTTTATGTGACTAATGATTAAAATTTATGTTATCATCATTACTTCTGTTCTTTTTTTTCACTTTCGAGATCTTTGAACTTAAGGTGATAAAATGGAAGATTCAACAGCAATTAATAATGAACACGAACAATTAGTTAATCGACAAGCAGATCATACTGGTATACTGAATCCACGTGGACCATATTTAAAATGGATAGCTGTATTTTTTATGTGCTTCTTATCATTTGGTATGAAATAATTGGCATTTTTCATAAACAAACCCCTATTTTATATTTTATTTTAGGATCATATTATTGTTATGATAATCCGGCTGGTTTACAAGATGTAATGAAAGATGATTTAAAAATTTCTTCAACAACTTTTACATCATTTTATTCTTGGTACTCATGGCCTAACGTTGTGTAAATTAAAATAATAATTATTATATTAAGTTTTTATTTTTTTATTTCGAAATTCGTAGACTTGCTGCTGTCGGTGGTATACTAATTGATAAGTGGCTAGGAGTAGCTCGTGGAGCAACAGTATTTTGTGCATTTATTCTTGTTGGACAAGTTATTTTTGGTCTTGGTGGTTATTGGCGTTTAATATGGCTGATGAATGTTGGTCGATTTATATTTGGTATTGGTGGTGAATCACTTTCAAGTGCACAAAATGCATATGCTGTTTCATGGTTTTTTGGAAAACAATTAAATTTTGTATTTGGTCTACAACTTTCATTTGCTCGTGTGGTTTGTATTCTGTTAATTTCTTAAAAAACAAAAAAAATGAATTAAATTCATTTGCTATTTTTTTTCTAAAGGGAAGTTTAGTAAATATGAATACAATTCATCGTATTTATGATTCACTTGGTTCAGATCTAACTGGTCCACATCGTATTGGTACAACACTTTTAATTGCCGTATCAACATGTTTTATTTCGCTAGCATGTGCACTTATTCTTTGGTCATTAGATAATCGACGAAAAAAAGTTGTTCAAGAAGATAATCCACCAGATCCAAGTTTGAATATTAAAATTCTTATTTATTATATTTTTTTGCTTTTTTTTTCTAGATGATGAATTTCATATTAAAGGTATGTTTATTGAAAATAATTACATATATATATATTATTTCGTTTATTTTTTAGATATTCGACATTTTTCTGCTTCACTTTACTGTGTATTTATTATTTGTGTATTTTATTATGTTGCTATATTTCCATTTATTGCTGCAGCACAATTACTTTTTGAATCGAAATATAATTTATCACCTGCTTGGTCAAATGCATGTAATAGTTTAGTTTATTTGATGTATGTTTAAAATAAAAATAAGATATTATAAAAAAAAATTTTTTATTTTGTTTTAAGGTCAGCTATTCTTTCACCATTCCTTGGTTATGTTGTTGATTTAACTGGTAGAAATCTTTTTTGGTTAATGGGTAGTATAACAACAACAATAATTGCACATGCACTTCTTGCATTTCTATTTGTTCATCCTGTTGTACCTCTTGTTTTAATGGGCATATCTTATTCAATATTAGCAGCATCACTTTGGCCAATGGTTGCTTTTCTTGTTCCCAAAAAAATGTTAGGTACAGCATATGGTTTTATGCAATCGATTCAAAATCTAGGTCTTGCTGTCATGTAAGCATTTCTTATGATTTTTAATACAGAAAATATTATTGTTTTCTTTTAGGAATATATTTACTGGTTTAATTCTTGATAGTTATGGTTATTTTATGCTTGAAATCTTCTTTATCATTTGTCTTGAAGTTGCTTTATTAGCAGCTGCATTTCTTTATGTTTATAATTCAGTTAAAAAAGGTATGCTCAATGATTCACCAACCGTTCGACGTGCTAAACAAGCTGAAGTTGAGGGTAAAACCGATACTACAATAAACAATGTTGTTGATTCACCATTATCACCTGATGGAGGCTATGACAACTATTCTAATGCTTAACAAATTCTTTTTCTTATTATCTATTGAAACTGTCTTTCGAAAACATAAATTATTCTTTTTTTTTTCTTTATTTTTTGTGATTTATATTAAACATGTGATTATACATATAAAAAAAAACATAGATAGAACAAAATTTTGAATGATTATTCATGTCCTTTTTACAAACGAAGTTTTAGATTACATAACAATAAAATATGTTTTCTCTATTACGATCAAGAATATTTTGTCAGAATTGTTGGTCTATTCCGCGTTCAATAAAACTTTTTGAACAACAAACAATAAAAATAAATCATCGAACATTGACATTTTCTGCTTTACATTTTCAACAACCACCGCCACCATCACCACCTTCAAATGAATCATCAAAATTATCTTCACTTATGAATGAAACTGATAGTAAAACTCCATTCATATTTTCTGAAACATCATCAAAACCAAAATATACAAAAGAACAAACGGATGATGAAAAACGTGAACGTGATGCTAAAGCAGCATGGGATATGAAAATGTTAAGATTTACAGGATATTTTCTTGGTATATGGTTAGTATCTACAGTTGGTTATGTTATACTTGTTTGGGGTTCACCACAAATTGATCAAGAAGGAAATGTTGTAAATGATCAATATTCACATTTATCAACATGGCAACAATATATAAGACGATCATTTCGAGGAATTATCGATTATTGGCAAACGATTAAAGATCCAACAAGTGATAAACTTTTACCTGAACCATTACCAGCACCATATCAACCAACATATACATTAGTTATTGAAATGTCAGGTGTATTATTACATCCTGAATGGGCTTATAATACAGGATGGAGATATAAGAAAAGACCAGGATTAGATTATTTTATAAAAGAAATTGGTTATCCAGTTTATGAAGTTGTTATTTATACAAAAGAAACACCATGGGTATGAAAAAATTACAATACTCAGTTTATTTAGAATTTTGAAACAGAATAAAAAAAAAGTGTATGATATTCTAGAGATTTTATATTAATTACTATCTTACTGAAGTAGTTGTACAAATTGCAAAGTATTTAAGAGTAATAAAGTATATTTTAAGGTAAATTTCAAGGCAAAATAATATTTGTATGTAAGATAAGATAAGTTGATTTCATTTTGTCCTCTGTTTGGTTATCAAGACTTAGATAAACGAATCATAGACACACGATATTTTTATATACTAATATATAGATCAATTCATTATTATTCTTTTTTTCAGGGCGCAGCATCAGTTATTGAAAATATGGATAGTGAACATCGTATAATGTATCGTTTGTTTCGTGAAAATACACGTTTTATTAATGGAACTCATGTTAAAGTATTGATATAAATGTTTAGTATTATATTTAAATGTAAAAATATTTCTTTTAGGATTTAGCATGTCTTAATCGTGATTTGAAAAAAATTATTTTCTTAGATTGGGATGAAAATACTTATCAATTACAACCTCGAAATGCTTTACATCGTTTGAAGAAATGGGATGGTAATGATGATGATAGACAATTACTTCATTTAGCTGCATTTCTTCGAAGTTTGTTGATAGTTTTTCTATTATAAATATCTATCTATGTTTTCTAATAGTGATTGCTGCAAGTGGTGTTGAAGATGTACGTGATGTATTAGATCATTATAATCAGGAATCAGATCCAGTTGAAGCATTTTTAATTCGACAACAAAAATTACTTGTATGACTAGTGTCTATTTTCACTTGCAATAAATCTATTTTTTTTGTGCTTTAGGAAATCGAAGAACAAAAACGACAGGCTGTAGCAGCTTCAAATACACCTGTAAAACAATCCAAAGGATTATTTGGTAGTTGGTCAAGTTCAAAACGATTCTAATAAAATCGCCACACTTCTTTTTTTTCTTCTGTTCACTGAATGTTATCTCAAAAAGTTTTTTTTCTCTCTCTTTTGTTGCCTTTTTTTTTCTTTTCTAGATAAATATGAGTGTTTTAGAAATTCGTCATGAATTTGTCGATATTGAAACACGAGATAATCAACAATTATATCAAGCTTTTTGTAATCATATTTATTTGGGTCAATGGGAATTATGTCGAATATGTTTACAAATTTTATTTACTAAACGTTTAAAACTTAATACAAATTTAGAAGATTTATTAATTGATATTATTCGAAGTCCAACTGCTTATTGGTAATAAATATGAACAAAAAAAAGAATAAATGAATAGTTTTTATTATTTTAGTACGGGATCAAAATCAGTACCAACACCATTCCATTTTGCTTTATTGTTAGTGGAAGAATGCCGAGTGAACCAGTATTTGGATGCTGTAAGAAAATATTTCATTTGAAAAATGAAATGAAGAGAGTATTAGAAGGATCTTTTTTTTAGACAATAGTCGAAGAACTTAAACATTATTCAACTTTTAAATTCCTTTTGGCTGTAGGTGATATTCAACCGAGTGCACAAGTTGCTCAAGTAAGTGAAAATATTAGACATCATTTAATCGCTAATTATGAAATAGGAAATTATTTTTTGATATACTCACGAGAGGACTATTAGTCGCTTTTCAGTTCGAACACTAATGAGTACTGTATGCACTGAGGAATCAAATAATGATAAGTTCATAGCTTCGCAGGAAAGATTTATGAGCACTTGACCTTATGCATAGGGACGAATCATTTTGAATATTTCAGCATTCTTTATGATATTTATCTAGTTTTGGTAAAACTATCTGAATTTATTTTTAAGATAATCCTGATACTCAAGTAAGAAGTTCATAGATACAAAAAATCTTAAAACTAATTCATTTTGATTTATAATTCCTAACAATCTCGTAGATATAAGACATTACCTAATACTAAAAATATATCTTATTTGATAATTAATTCTATTCAATTAAGGAATTTGAACGACTTCATAAAAATACCGATGATATTCCTTCAACTCTTTTAACTGATTCAATGGCTGATTTTCTTGTTGATTTATGGTTACATGAAACTCCTCGTGTTCATGCATTTATTCGTTTATATTTATATTCGTCAATTCCATCTATACATACATGGTTAATACAAATTCATAAACGTGCACTTGAAATTTGTTTACAACAATTAAAAACATTAAATAATGAACAACAAAAAACAAATCTTGTTGATTTACTTCTTGCATTACATTTTTATTCATGTGATACAAATGAATTTCGTTTAACAATACGTGATACATTAAGAAAAATTGTTATTTATGCAACTGAAGGAAATGATAATTCAGGACAATTATTTAATTTAAAAACTTTATATCGTTCGATTTTAAATAATGGTTATTTAGCACGTTTAATAAGTGAATTAGAAAGTGATTATCGAAAAGAATTATTAAATAATGATACAGTTATAATACATTTTCTAAAGAAAAATTCATTTCGAAAAGAAAATTTTTTTTGGAAAGAAATTTATCTATATTTAATTGAAAATAAATTAGATTTAATATCATGTGTATTAGTAAGTTAAATAGAAATTAAGCTCATTGAAAACTAAAAACTAGATTTCGAATTTAGAATGATTCAATATTAATGATACAAAGTCGAGATTATTCATCATTAGATCAATTATTAAATATTGAACAATTTAAATCATTACATCTCTATATATTTCTTCTTGGATGGACACATGTAAGAACAGTTAATGATGCAATTGTATTATATGATTCAATTAATGCATTACCTGATAAATGTTCGATGTTAAGTAAATCTTTAGAATTATTTCAATCTCATATTGAATTTATAACATGGTTATATAATATTCGACGGTAAGTTAGAAAATATTTGTTTATTAATATATTATATTGATATATGTGTTTATTAGAATTGATCTGTAAGTTTTAGTTGCTTTGATTGTCTGAGCTTATTTTATGTTTGTTTGTCTTTTCTATTAAAATTTTGTTTTTATAGGTATCATGATGGTGTAACAAATTTACCAAATATGTCGAGTTTATTATCAAAATTACAGACAACTTCACCATTGTCATTAATTCATGAATATTTAGATATACAAACAATTGATTCAAAGGAAATTTTAGATAAATTACAAAAAACTTTAGTAGATATTGATGATGACAATGACAAATCAAATGAAAAAAAACGTAGGTTGAAGAATTGTTTTAATTAATAAATAGAAGGATCATTCATATTTAGTAAACAAATGAGTCAGAAGTCTTGACAATATATCATAAATTCTGATACAGAAAATCTAGAAGTCTACTTTACTACGTAGTTATCTTTCGTTTGAAAGTGATAGCTTTATATCTGAAGTCAAATCAAGACATAATAATATTGAATTTTTGAAATAAATATAGTTTAGATCTTAGACGTTTGTAGCTTGAAAGTTTGTGTACAATTGAGGACACTATTTGTTTTCAAGTAAAGGCCAATGATAAATTTTGGATGAAAACTGAATTATGATGCCACTAAATCCGATTATAGTTCAAAATAGGTGCTGTCTACTATAATTTCGTTGAGACTTAAGTCGTCAAAATAGAAGGGTGCACCTAATCTACATTCAACCTACCAACACCTATAATAGCTGAAATCGTCTAAAGTCGAGACTTTTGTCCACTACTATGCATATAATGAATTATTTATCATATCTACTTATAAAAGTTTTTCTATTAACAATTATTTTTAGGTGTTCGTTTTCTTGATGCACCATTTAATACAATTGAATCACATCGTTTATCTCAAACAACATCTTCAATGATTTTTCTTGGTTATCTATCTGTTAATACTGTTATTGAACGTATATTATCATCTGACAATCATAATCCAGAAACCGATATATTTTCTTTAACTCGAACATATTTAACACAAATATATCCATTACGTTTTCGTCTTGAACTATTAGAAAATCTATTTTCACTTGTATTTATTCAATCAAGTGATTTAAAAATTGATGATGCAGTTGAAATAATTGAACAACTACCACCAAGTACTCCATCACTTTCTTTAACAACATCAGATAAACTTTTTTCATCCATACAAAGTAATCTAACTAATGATAGTTTTCAAACATCAACAAATGCAAGTATTAAAACTCAATTATCAATAAGAAGATTTGATAATGAATTAGATGAAAATACGGATGATAATCTATCTGTATGTAGTAGTTCAATGAGTTCAGTTGGTGCATCACATCATCATCCAATAAATCGCTCCGGATTATTAATAAATCAATATGTACTTTATCATTTATTAATATTTTTACGTGATCAATTAGCAGAAGTTCGAGCACTTCATCAAAAAATAAAAGATAAAGCAACTGATCGTGATACAGTAGATTTTGAAACATTATTAGATAAATATTTTCATGGATGTTCAATTCAAACAAATGAACAATTTGCAAGTCGAGCAACAAAATTAAATACTATTGTTAGTGAAACATTATGGAGATATCAATTATTAACAGCAAATAAAAATGAATCATCAACAGAAGAAAATAAAAATGATGAACAAGAAAATGATAATAATTTAATTAATAATCCTATTATAAAAAATTTAATTCTTCCTATTCGTAAGTTAGAATAGTATTTTCGAAATATTATTAATTGTTTTATTTATTCTTAAGCTGTTCATCGACATGCTCATCGGCGAAAACGTCGAAAACGTCTTTCGGAAAGTAGTATATCAAGGTAAATTCAATTTATCTAATACCATATATATATATTCAACAAAACATTTTTATTTAGTGCTGCATCATCATCTTATAATGGTAGTAGTAATAATACAACGAGAACAAAATCAACATTAGTATCACAAATTCTTTCAACTCGTGATAATCTATTAGCTATTTGTTTAAAAGAAGGAAAAATTACTGAAGCTAATGAAGTTATACGAGTAAATCTACTAAACAAATTTTTTTTAGTTTTATATATAAAATTTCTTTTATATAGCTATTCAATATGCAAGATCATCCACTTGCTGTTGAAGCAAAATTTAGTAAATTATTTCATGATACAGTTATACAATTATCTACAACCGATTCATCTGTAACTACACCTATTGAAAATTTTACATCCAATTCACCATTAGCTGGTTTAGCTCATTTAACACAATCAGCACTTAATAATTCATCCGTACAACAAGGTATGAATCCTTTATTAGAAGCTGCTCAAACATCAAATGTTTCTTCAACATTACCAACATCAACATATTTCGATCATGAACATTTTCTTTCATTAACTTTATTTGATCTTGCAATAAATGCACCAACAATGACAATAAGTAAAACATTACTTGATATGGCTCAACATCGTTTACCAATTCCACGTCCATTATTTTCATCAAATACATCATCGCATAATAATCAAAATAATCGAAATTCTCCGTCAAGAATTAAAAATTTAAGTGATATGATTAATAATTATAGTCAATTAGCTAATTCATCAAATGGATCATTTTATGATTTATTACTTGATGTTACAATACCATTAGATGCAATAAAAGCAACAAAAACTATTCAATATTATAAAAGACTTGATGAACATTGTCGACAATATTATATTAATGAACAAAATTCTTTACCAATTGAAGAACAAGTTAGAAATACTGGAGAATTTTTTGAAAATGATCCACAAGCTAAAGTAGATTTAATTGCATATATTAGGTAATTATAAGAATTTCAAAAACTGACGAGCTAAATTTTGTCGTAACATAAAAAAAGTTGACGTATAGGAAAATAATTTTTGAAGTTAAGATCGAATCTGACAGTATGAAATAAGATGCATCCTTTCATTCTTCAGTATACCAAAAGTAGCGATACAAGATACTAGCATGCAACGTGTCGAAAAGTGGAAACCATCGTATCCTTTTGATCTTGAGAGATTACTGTGCGA